GAGTAACGTAATCAGAGTACAAATTATGAGTAACTGTATTCAGTTACAGTTACTGTTTCAGTGAGTGGTAATTGGATTACTTTGTTGAAATAAATGGATTACACGGCGGTATTTTCCTGTTTTCACATTTTGGGCTATATCTCTTTTTTTTTTTTTTTTTTCGGTAATTCCACTCTTTGCTGCAAACTAAACCAGGTCTAAACCAGGACTAAACCAGGACTAAACCAGGACTAAACCAGGTCTAAACCAGGTCTAAACCAGGACTAAACCAGGACTAAACCAGGATGGATTACACAGCGGTATTTTTTTTATTTTTTATTTATATTTATTTTTTTGGTAATTCCATTCATTGCTGAAACCTAAACCAGGCCTAAACCAGGACTAAACCAGGACTAAAACCAGAACTAAACCAGGACTAAACCAGAACTAAAACCAGATCTAAAATAGATCTAAACTAGATCTAAACCAGGTCTAAACCAGGACTAAAACCAGGACTAAACCATGACTAAAACAGGTCTAAACCAGGACTAAAAACCAGGTCTAAACTAGATCTAAACTAGATTTAAACCAGGTCTAAACCAGGACTAAACCAGGACTAAAAGGACTAAAACCAGGACTAAACCAGGACTAATCCAGGACTAAAACCAGGACTAAACCAGGACTAAAACCAGGTCTAAAAAAGATCTAAACTAGATCTAAACCAGGTCTAAACCAGGACTAAACCAGGACTAAAACCAGGACTAATCCAGGACTAAAACCAGGACTAAACCAGGACTAAAACCAGGTCTAAAATAGATCTAAACTAGATTTAAACCAGGACTAAAACCAGGTCTAAACTAGATCTAAACCAGGTCTAAACCAGGACTAAACCAGGACTAAAAACAGGTTTAAAACAGGATTTAACAGGACTAAATCCTGCTGCGTAGACGTGTCTCCTTCTCTTTTATCAATAATATTTTTAATTTGGTTCAGTAAAGTCTGGGTTTTTTATTTTCTTTTCGGAGACAAAACTTCTTATGTTTAATTTCCTCGTCTTTGCTTCTCTACAGCAAAATCAAGTAATCCAAAGTATTCAGATTACATTACTCACCTTAAATAACTTAATGGATTCTGTTACAAACTACATTTTGGTGTGTGTCATCTGTAATCTGTAGGTGAATACATTTTAAAAGTCACCTTCCCAACACTGACTACTGAACATTCTGCCACAGACATGCATACAGTAAACCTTCAGCGTGTCGTCACTGCAGTATCAATATGAAATCTTTAAACAAATGCATGAAAAAGAAAAAAAATATATGATTTACAAGTGAAAATTTTCCTCATTAGTCTGTCAGTTTTAATAGTAGGAACAGAGAAATAAATCATCCGACAAAACAGAAGGATCACGCAGGTAGTAATTATTATTTTTATTAAAGTGTTCCACCGAGCACAGTAACAGGCTGCGGACTTCAGCTGTGACAATGACTTAAAACTACTGAATCAAATGAGCGAGAGTTACTCAGGAGGTCGAGTCAAGGCCGTATAATCAAAAACGGCAGCTGCAATGACCAATGTTCATCAAACTACTGTTGTGTCATTGGGCAAGATTTATTCAGCCACTTAAAAGTCTGGATAGTTGGCTAATTTCCCAGCAAGGTACTTCTGCCCACAAACCTGACTCTAGATCCGGAGATGGGCCCCTGGGTGCGACACTCTGTCACCCACTGCTCCTGACAGGTTACACAAGGAAATTAAAGGTGCACTGTGTAACTTTTTTGGCTGGGGGTCCATCATTTGCTTGTTTCTTTGGATATGTCATTGGTCTCCTTGGAATGTGACATTAAACTGAGTGCGTATACATGCACATCAATAACCCGGTTATTAGCCATATCCCGGTTATGTCAGTATTCGTGTTACTGCGTTTACATGCGCACTGAGAAACCATATCCGCGTATACATGATCAAATGGACTATCCCGGTTTCTTGACATAATCTTACAAATGCGCAGGCGCAGAAATTAACTTAAATCAATTTCATAAACCAGGAAAAATACAAACCGTGAGCTCCTTTAGCATAAGAAGCTAAGGAGCTACGAGATCTCCCACAATCCACTGTGCAGATTCTTCATTAAAATCTTCTGCATAAATAAACTCAACTTTACAACATATAAACCATAAACACTATTGAGCTACTTCAGCCCGTTTGATCAAATAATTCAGCTCTGATCACATTTGTTTACGTTTTACAGAAACGAAACTTAAGACCGTTTGGCTAATTAGCATAAACTGTTAGCGGCGATAAAAACAACTCGCTCCTTGCGCCGCTGATGCGATCAGTTTCTTTTGGACTAAATGACACGACTCTGTGGATTATGTGTGTTATTTCTGTGACAGAAGAGGCGCTAATGATGGTAAGTGTGTTTCGTGCGTATAGAGTTTAGGAGATAGTTCATGTTTTAGCTTTTCAGCGTCACACGAGTGCAGGTCGTACGAGTGCAGATTGTACGTGTGCAGGTTTAGCGCAGCTCTTTATTTTACAGTCATTTCACTCGTTTGGTCACTTTATTTATGTTGGTCAATTTATTTATGTCACTACTGTTGTGGTGAAAGGCTGGAAAGTGTCTTTTGGACGCATGCGCACTCAACTTTATGTTGCAGTAACCGGGGTACTGCGTTTACATGACACAAGTAACCCGGTTACTATCGGAGTAAACCAGCTACAGTAACCCGGTTTCTAATAACCGGGATACTGCCATAACCGGGTTACTGAAACCGGGTTACTGCGTATACATGCACCATCAAGAAACCGGGATACTCAAAAAACCCGATCATAACCGGGTTATTGATGTGCATGTAAACGCACTCACTGCTGTATCTTACATTTATTCAATTACAGGTGGTTTTATAGCTCAAAAATAACTAGAAAAACATGCATTCTGATTGTGAGCGGGGCTGCCTCTCCACAGATCTGACCTGTAACTTGGTTTGGTTTGGTCTCCATGAAGATAGAAAGGTTTAATATCATTCTGTGAAACATGGGAAATGGTCACACTTTTCATGCGCTTCACCTCAAAGCGCTTTACAACAAGGAACCACTCACCCGATTCACACACATTCACACACCAGTGTACGCAGACACTAGGGGGCGAGGTGGGTTAAGTGTCTTGCCCAAGGACAAGGCTGACAGCACAGCAGCATTCATCTGTAGGAGTTAGACTCACACCTGCCAACCTGTGCATCAGTGGATATAACTCCTCAACCAGTTATGTTTTTTATGTCGAGAGTGGGATTCAAACTGCCAACCTCCTCAGTGGATAAACACTCTACCAACTGAGCTGCTGCTGGATGGGATGGGTCAAATGCAGATGAAGTTCTGTTTGTGCTCAGAGCGTAGAATGGCAGCCATGTTTCTGTCAGTCTGCCCTGGGCAACTGTGACTAAACATGTTTTCTATCACCACAAGCATGAATTGTTTGTACTTGTATATGGTGTAAAGTAGGTCAAAAAACCAGGTTTAAACCAGGACTAAACTAGGACTAAACCAGGACTAAACTAGGTCTAAACCAGGACTAAACCAGGTCTAAACCAGGACTAAACCAGGACTAAACCAGGACTAAACCAGGACTAAACCAGGACTAAACCAGGTCTAAACCAGGACTAAACCAGGACTAAACCAGGACTAAAACAGGACTAAACCAGGATTGAACCAGGACCAAACCAGGACCAAACCAGGACTAAACCAGGTCTAAACTAGGACTAAACCAGGACTAAACCAGGACTAAACTAGGTCTAAACCAGGACTAAACCAGGTCTAAACCAGGACTAAACTAGGACTAAACCAGGACTAAACAGGACTAAACCAGGACTAAAACAGGACTAAACCAGGATTGAACCAGGATCAAACCAGGACTAAACCAGATCTAAACCAGGACTAAACAGGACTAAACCAGGACTAAACTAGGTCTAAACCAGGACTAAACCAGGACTAAACTAGGACTAAACCAGGACTAAACCAGGACTAAACCAGGTCTAAACCAGGTCTAAACCAGGGCTAAACTAAACCAGGACTAAACAGGACTAAACCAGGACTAAGGAACAGGACTAAACCTAGGTTGAACCAGGACCTAAACCAGGACTAAACCAGATCTAAACCAGGACTAAACCAGATCTAAACCAGGACTAAACAGGACTAAACCAGGATTGAACCAGGACCAAACCAGGACTAAACCAGGTCTAAACAAGTTCTAAACCAGAGAGAGAAAACATCACTGGGACAAAGGACAACAAATGTCATCTTAAACATCTGGATTAAGGAAGGCAAAGGGGGGGCTTTTTTTACTCTCTCACACCTGGGATATTGTCTTGAAGAAGTCGGATGTAGATGGCCACAGAAAAAACGTGCCAAAACCTGTTGTATGAAAACAAAGTAGGTCTGAAAAAGAATTAAATAAAATAAATACTGTTTATGCTTTGCTCTAAACCAATTATCACAGCGCTTTTTTATTATTCAAAGCTCCAAATGTGTTAATTGTCTGCACCTCTCTTCCCCCCGGTCAGTCCACATCCTCACAGTGTCTGGGCTTGTCTCAGCAGAGTCTCAGATTGGTTGTGATAGTGAATGTACATTTGGTTTGAGCTCAGAGGAACAGACTGTAGCTGTCATCACACCTGCACAGTGCCACTCCAAACAAACTGATGAATCACGCTCAGGATTTCATTTCTGTAGATGGCCGTGTCCTGGCGGCGCACAAATTCGCCCTGCTGTTTTTCCTGTTCCTCAATATTTACTTCACGTTGAAATGCCCAGACATATCAGCCGAGCGCGGGGCCGTACTCTGCAAAAGCCTAAATCGTACGTGTCACTTTATCTCTCCATCTGGTTTGGCCTTGTCTAATGCTATTACTCCATCACATTTGACTTTGTGCTGTTGTAATCCAGATGTAAGATACAGGGCTTACGGGCACTTTTAAAGCGCTGTGTCTGACTCCTCTCTCTTCTCTCTCTCTCTCTGTTCACAGATTTTATTTAGTCAGTGGTGGGGTGCCCCTCATCATCTGCGGGGTCACTGCAGCCGTCAATATAGACAACTATGGCAGCGGGGAGCAGGCGCCGTAGTAAGTCTGCATTTACTCCTGATCTCAAGGTCATATCTCATCATATTTCACAGACTTCACCTCCATCTGTTTCCCTGGGAGGTGTTGGAATAAATATTACATCAATGTTAGACTGTGTATAAGTTATGTAAGCATATTCTGATTTAGAAAACATATAGAAATGCTATAAACCAATAGTTCTGTGCATGTTTGTTGTGACTGTATTCTGCAAACACTCCTGACCTGTCCTTTCTTCTGTGTGCACAGCTGCTGGATGGCCTGGGAGCCCAGTCTGGGGGCCTTCTTTGGCCCCGTGGCATTCATCGTCCTGGTCACCTGTATCTACTTCACCTGCACCTTCATCCAGCTGCGGAAGCACCCGGAGAAGAAGTACGAGCTGAAGACACTCTCAGAGGAGCAGCAGCGCCTGGCAGCTGTGGATGTACCTCACTGCCACCAGGGGGCGGAGCCGGGGGCTCTGACCGCCCCGGCCCCTGGGAGCCACTGTCCCGCGGGCTGCCCCGGCATCCCCATCAACCCCGCGCTGTTGGCCAATGAGCACTCGTTTAAGGCGCAGCTGCGGACCGCCGCCTTCACGCTCTTCCTGTTTGTGGCCACGTGGACGCTGGGGGCGCTGGCCGTGTCTCAGGGTCACTTCCTGGACATGATCTTCAGCTGTTTGTACGGTGCCTTCTCCGTCACGCTCGGCCTCTTCATCCTCATCCATCACTGCGCCAAGCGTGACGACGTGTGGCACTGCTGGTGCTCCTGCTGCCCCAGTCGCCGTGGTAACGCCTGCCCCGCCCCCCAGGGCGCGGCAGCTGCTCCCCGACCAAAGGTCAACGTGAACGGCGACACGACGGGTCACGTGCCCTGTCACGGCCACTGTCACCATGACGTGTCTGCGTGTAAGGCTCTGCTCAGCTGCCACTGTAAACACCAGAAGCATGTGTCGTGTGTGGCCCCTGTGGGCCCCTGCTGCGCCGCCCTGCACACTCAGCAGCTCCTGGACCAGGAGCCCGGGGCCTCTCACGTCCTGCTGCACTCAGAACCAGAGGGCTACAGGCCCGGCCTCCACCCCTGTCTAAAGACCAGCGGCAGGACTAAGAGCCGCAGCCTCGGCCGCAGGCCCGCCGCTGCCCCCTGTGGCGGAGAGCGGGAGTACGCCTACCACATCTCGTCGGGCGGAGACGCGGGCAGCGTGCACAGCTCCCACACTGACAGCCCTCACAGCACACACGAGCGGCACGCCCACATGTGCCCTCACCTGCACGAGCACGAGGCTCATCACAGCTGCCACGCAGCCTGCCACGCCCCCTGTCACCGGCACATGTGCTGTGCCAAAGCGGAGCTGTTCCCCTCGCTGTGCCCCGCAGAGCCCGACACGGGCGTGTTTCTGTGCGGCTGTGGGAAGGTGGCCGAGGAGGAGGCCCCTCACCATCTGGAGATGCACGCTGCGCCACGCAGACAATCTTTCCCCCAGAACCCGCCCAATCAGAACGGGATACTAAAGGGCGGGCTGCACGAAGGACTGCTGTACACATCTGACAGCACAGGGAATATACGCACTGGGCCCTGGAAGAATGAAACTACTGTGTAGTCCCATTATGGAGTATACCCAAACCCCACCAAATATAACCCTCGCTCCCTCTCAATGAGAAAAGGATTTAACGACTTTGGAATTGTCACAATCAGTGTGGAATATTTGATTTTCACGTCATGTTTTCTGTGTGCCGTTTTACTGTACAGTAATGAAATGAGTGCCCAGTAGGGGGCGCTGTTACATCAACGGACCAGAATCTCTTCCATCCAGATGAATTGGTGTCACATGTTCCTGAAGGTATCTCCTCTGCTCCATGTTACTACAGATCTATATATTCAAGAACAGAATGGTGTATGTCTGAATCTGTGTGTTAGTGCTCAAGGCAACTCGCTGCAAGATTTGATACTCTCTGGACCAGAATAATGTAAGATGACAGTGCACCTCCAGTACTTTAACAAACTGTTGGCATCATGTTTTAGGAAACTAAACCAGCAATTTTAGACTCCATGGGTATTTTTGTCATTCAGTCAACTGTGAATAACTAGAGTTTCTTTTTTTCTAAATACTATACAAAGATACTGTCGCTTGCAGGAGCTGTGTGGATGCCAGGTCTAAAAATTCACACTTGTAAAAGATTGGGCGTCCTATTCCAGGTTTGTATTGATGGTACCGTGTGTCTGATGTGTTCACTGATGTTTCTGATTTCGGGAGCGACAGTGTTTGTGAATAGGGAGTCTGCGCCATGGCGTCTGTGAATGAAGCGTGTTATTTATTCAGTTGGTTACACTGTGCAACAGATAGCCAGGTTTTCACCGAGTTAATTGCCAAACAGTTATTTTCCCTTCCTTCCATCGCAAAACAAAACCGAACAACACCTGAAGGACGAACAGTTATAAAACAACAAAAAAAAGAAAACTGCCTGTGTCAAATTACCTTTAAAACATGAGCTGTGGCCAATCTCACACATGGCAGAGATCTGTAGAATGCTGCATTCATTTCTTATTCATTTCATTTTTTCCCAAAGCATGCGCGCTGTTGTATGAAGCTAAATGTTCATTTTACAGTAAACTCATGATTTGCCTTGACCTGATAAGTCTGCTGCAGCTTGCTATTGTTATTTCGTTTTATCTTTTCCACAAATCTTTTCGCAAGTTTTGGTCTCACCAGAGAGCTCATAAAATGGACAGTGGTTGAAAGTGCATATGACAGTTCAGATCACACATTTCACCAAAACATAGTCAGTTATGAGAATCTTCTGCTTGTTTCTATGGATACAGTATGTCATTGCTCTGCCTGGAATGTTCCACAGTATGACATTAAACAGACTGACCTTACATTTAGTCAATAACAGGTGTTTTTATAGCTCAAAACTCCTACAAAACCGACTTTCTGACTGTGAACGGGGTTGTCCAGAAGTGGGGACCTGCATGTCGTGATTTGGACTCGAGGCAGACTTCAGTCACTATTTTCAGGACTTGAGACTTGATAAAAACTTGATAAAATAGACTAAGAGTTGGGACTTGACTTGGACTTGAACTCTGTGACTTGAGAAGACTTGATGCTTCTCCTAAAAATACGTTTTTAGAAAATACTTTCCTCTTTTCAGTTGATAAATGCGGTGCTGAATTTTACAGGAACAAACTGGAACATGTCTCTTCCACTTTCTGTTTGTTACTTTGGATGGAAGTGAAGTACTGTGATGTGGTATCCTCAAATGTACTACAGTAATATACAGAACATTACAGTAAAACAGAAGGAACTACAAAGAACACGATCCTTCCATTTCATTGAAGACTACACGACTAAATAACTGCATTTTAAAATCTTAATTCTTTCTATTATGACCGTAATGATTCACACTAAGATCTTGTCAAGACAATTAAAAAGGAAAAAGGAGCATTTCTACAACTCTTATATAAATACTTATTTGTTATGTCTTATTTATTTATTTGTACAGCAGATATTAAGGACCATTAAAAATATAAATATGTAAAGATTACAGTCAGCGTGGCTAATTTCCATCTTCAGTCCCTCGGCAGGTTGATGTGAAATCATCTCCAGGACGGAGAAAAGTACAACAACAATCACACAAAAGTACATAAAACCAGCACACTCACTATACATACAAATTAAAATCAAACAGTTCATTTGAAGTTCAAAGTCAAGAGTTTAAGAGGTAAAACAAGAGTTAAATATGATATTATATGTTACGTTAATGTTATATATAAGTATACTATGCCTTTTTAAGTATAATTTAGTTTAAAAGTCATATAAACTGCTAAAAATCTAAGCTATATATGGTACTTAGATTTAAAGACTTAAAATGACTTGAAGCTCAAAGCAGACGACTTGGATTTGACCTAGACTTGCCTCTCTTTGACTTGAGCCTTGACTCGGACTTGAGGTCAAAGACTTGAGACTTGCAAAACGACGACTTGGTCCCATCTCTGCTGCTGCCTCTCCACAGATCTGACCTGTAACTCCATGACAATAGATAGACTTAATGCCGCGCTGTGAAACCTTCCAGACAAAGCAAAAACATCTCCACAGAGTCAAGCTGGTGGTGGATTCTCCCCCAGAAAAGTTACACAATACAGCTTTAACAATTTGGTAGAGTTTCTAATCCTGTATGAAGCAACTATATGGTAAACAAAGGCTAAAGCTTGTCTATTTAAACAGTTAATTAGTTATTATTTGATGAATTTAAAAAAAAAAGGTGATAAAAGTGTGATTCTTGTGGGTTTTGCAGGTTTTGTTTTTACTTTTCTGCACAAACTTGTACTTGGAAAACCTTAAAAACCTGTCATATGCACTTGACTCAGCTAATCTATGTATAAATTGCCTATTACTACCACAGTATTACCACCAAATATTCTTAAAATCTCATATATATTAGTTCTGTTAAAACCTTGTACGTGCTTACTTCGGCTGCAGTTTTGTGTACCACGTGACATCGCCCAGATAAAGCTCCTGCGCTGTCAAAGTCTACGGCTTTATTTAAGACCCGGCTTTCCACTCACACAGCCACAGCGCCCAGGGTCATACGTAGGGCAGCCGTGGAGCGAGCTGACAGGAGAAGACGTAATGCCTTTTCTATACAATAAGATTTTAGAGCTTGTTAAATGAAACTGAAAAGTACCCAAATGTATTTCTGTCAAGTCCAAATAGTGAGCAGAGCATTCCTGTGTAGGGTTTTTATGCAATAGAAAAAGTGACGTTAGTAATTTTGGCTATGTTCAGATTGCGGGGCTTAGTGCTCAGTTTGGACTTTTTTTGTGAAATCCGATGGTCGTTCACATTTCGAATTAAATGCGACTTGTATGTGATCTCCAGTGTGAACTTTAAACGCCCCAGAAGTGTCCCAAAATCGTCAAATGGACAGGTTACACGTCCACAGTCGCTTCATTTGTTTGAGTCTTTAGCCTCCTTGTATTTGGCTCTCTGGCTCTTTATTTTTCGACATTGGAGCCAGAACCGCCTGTAGCTGCGCTCGGACATTTCTTTGCCAATCATTCCAGAAACCGCCCAGTTCAGATAAGACTATTCCAATTTGGTCTGAAAACAGCGATCCCCCCAAATATGAATAAACTTACTAACCTCGCTTTCCCTCCATTGACTCGACTCGGAGCCTGACGCGTAGGTGGGATGAATGCGACCTGGCCGTTCAGACTGAAGTCGCATGTCAAAAGATCGGATATGTGTCGGTTTCAGGAGCACATATCCAAGTGGCCTGGGTCACATTTGAAAAAATCTGATCTGTGTCATTTAGGCTACGTTCAGACTGCAGCCTGAAGTGACCCAAATCTGATTTTTTCGGCTTCTATGTGACCTGTACCTGATCTTTTAATTGACAGTCTGAACGACACACAGATCTGATTTTTTCAAATGTGACCCAGGCCACTTGGATATGTGCTCCTGAAACCGAAACATATCTGATCTTTTGACATGCGACTTCAGTCTGAACGGTCAAAGCGCATTCATCCACCTACACGTTATCAACAAGACACAAACGTCACTATTCTGCGCTGAAGTAGGCGAAAATTGTTAATGAACTCCATGTCACTGAAGCGAAGCACATCACCACTCACCACTCTTGGCTCCGTCTCCACATCCACATGTTCCTTTCAACGGACGTCGCTGCCGCTGTCCCACAAAACACCACGACCAAAAACCTCGTCCTTCTCCTTCTCAATCTCCTCCTTAAAACAAGTAAGTTGTTCATGTTCTGGCTCCGGTACGAGAGGAACTTTAAAATCTCCAGGTGCTCAATGCTCACGTCCATGTTTGGACAACTTCCGTAAACACAGAGACGCTCGCTGCGGTTGACGTCGTCGTGTCTCCAGTGCACATGCGGGACACTTTCAGGCCATTTAATGTTCACACTGGAGTCACATACAAGTCGCATTTAATTGGAAATGTGAACGACCTCGCGAAAAACATCGGATTTCACAAAAAAATTGGAATTGAGCGTTAAGCCCTGCAGTCTGAACGTAGCCTTAGACTTTCATTAAAAGATCAGATACAGGTTGCACAGAGGTGAAAAAATCAGATTTGGGTCACTTCAGGCTGCAGTCTGAACGTAGCCTCTGTCATTAATGTTGCTTCCTCATCGAAAATATAACTTGAGTTGTGTTTTGTTTCATTCACACATGTTTAACACAAGAAAACTGCATATTTAAGCTGAGTTCTTCTCTCAAGCTGAAACCACTCTGCTCCACCTTATGATGTCATGTGGTAATACAGGATTTGCTCCACTCCTTTTTGTTTTTAAACTCCATATATCTTCAAGAGAATCGTTTGGATAGCACAGAATATTTTTGAGCTAAGGAGATGTTGACAGACTAATAATAAAAGGATTACTCAAGCATTTTTGAATGAAACAAAACACAACTCCAGGTCTGTTTTTGAGGAGGTAACAACATTATAACTTGGCTTAAAGCTCACAAGAGTCAATTTTTTTGTAATATAGGACCTTTAAGAGATGAATAAACAAATACTGAACACACTTTACTCTACAGTGGTAACTAGGATATGTAGATGCATTTACCCTACTTCTT